AAACACCTCCTTACTATACGATGATTTTTAGATCATCCCATAATAATAATAATAATAATAATAATAATAATAATAATAATATAAACACAATATAAAAATTTGAACATACTCATATACTAATAATATATAATAATAATAATAATAATAATATAAACACAATATAAAAATTTGAACATACTCATATACTAATAATATACTCCCTCCGTCCGCCAAATTTATTCTTACTTTCTTTTTTAGTCCGTCCATTAAATTTATCACATTACTAATTTTGGCAAAGTCAACAAATCAACATTTAATTATTACCCTCCATTCAACACTTATTTACAACAAATACCACTAACTTTACTATATTCTCTCTCTTCATTTACTTTACCTTTTTAACTAAATTTTCAAAAATACCCTTAACTACCTATCACTTTTTTAATAAAATATTTATTTTTTTTAATTCCCGTGCCGAGCCCAAATGGGCTAATTTTAATGGACGGAGAGAATATTTAATTTTACACATATTTCAAATAACATAGTTCACTATGTTCCTGGATATCTTCTCCGCTCGAAAGACCTTCATTTCTCCAAGAGCGGCTTGACGAGCGAACTCCTACTCGATTTCCTTCCTACTGAAATTCTTCAGTCTTTTATAGCTCAACCATCAGTCGTTCACTGGATACCTCTGGTTAGTCTCGTCTGTGTATTCGAATCTCAAGTAATCCTCCGGGAACTCCAGGATGAATTTTCTGAATTCTACGGATTTCAGCTTACTCAGGTCGCTCCAAACCTCAGTCAATTCAAGGACCCTCATTCGCTTGTAGTAAGCTTCTGGCGGTGCTGGTTCAACAAATTCACCAGAGCTTCTTTCTACCACTCTCCCCCTGTCAGTGGACAGTATCCTCTGAACTCTTCTCTAAATCTTCTCTTCAACTTTATCAAACTCCTAATTCACACTTAGCTTTCTCTTGCTTGGTTTTATTGTGATGACTTTCAGATAGCCCAGGGTTTTTCAAAGAAAAACATAGTGCAACCAGAATACTTTCAAACTTGCAATATTAGTCCCAAAATGGATAAACATTCAGCTAAACAGGTAGAAATATCCTGAAACTTGCTGATACGAACCCTATTTACTCATCCCACAACAAAACAAAACACTCCACAGAGGGTTTTCGTTGTGAAGAAAGGAGAAAATCACAAGCTCAAGAAAATCAATTGAAAAATTGGAAATTGATCCATAGAAAGTGAGAATATCAGATATTATATCTAAATCTAACAGATAACAGACTTAGATTCACAGAAAATCAAGTTATAGTAATTTTTCAAAATTTTGAAGAATAGTGAGTTTTCCCAAACATAATTTTTGATTATGTGTTATTGAATGTGAAATCAGGAAAAAAAACTATGAAATCGAGTAATTAGACCAAGGAGAACCTATATCTTACCTCAGATTTTGTTAAAATCAGTTGAAAGATAAAGATTTTTCGAATTTGGGAACACGGAGGAATGGTGGTTTCTTTGTAGCGTACTAAAGGAGTTAATTTGGGGGTAAAAGTGGAAATGACTGAGTGGAGGGGGTATTTATAGGAGAGGGTTCATCGCTCACTTGCTTTGTGACGTATGCGGTGGACGATTCAGCTTCTTGTCGGTCCAGTATTATTATATTAATATAAAGGCTTAACGGGGTGGGTTACTGGGTAGGTGAGCGGTTAAATCAATACTTCTAATTTATCCTAAGTATGACACACAAGCGATTGGGCAAGTGGTATTGGGTGAGCGATAACACTCCTCCAGCATGTATCAAGGTGAAACAAGCGAAGCAAAGGTTGGCTTGGGGTAGACTCAGGTTAGAAATTAAAAACCTACCTAAGTTACTCTAGAAAAACGACAATAAAACAATCAAAATTTTATTCTACTGAAAGGGATAAACTACCTAGAAAGCGATAATTCTATTCCTATTTGAAAGCGCTAAACTAACTAGGAAAGCAAGAATTTACTACCCTACAAAAGCAATAAAATCTAACTATAAAAGCGATAAACTGCTACTAGGGAAGCGGTAAAATTCTAACTAGGGAAGCGATTAAAGAAAACAAGTAAAACTATGGCGGATATAAGATTAGGCAATTCTAGATTTTAGTTAAGTTCTTATCACAGAGCAAGCTTCTGAACTTCTATCAAATCAATCTCTGTTTCGGCCTGCTGCAATACAGAACTTTCGATATATGGTTTCAATCTTGCTCCATTGACTAGGAAGGAATCGCTTTCCATCGAGTTATCCACATCAATGAGTCTGATGGCTCCGCTTGGCAGAACTTGTTTGACAACATATGGCCCAGTCCATTTGGATTTCAAGTTTCTTGGGAACAAGTGAAGTCTAGAATCATACACTAAGACCTTGGATCCCTCAGTGAATTATTTCTTCTTTAACTTCCTATCGTGATAGAACTTTATTATTTCCTTGTAAATTTTTGTGCTTTTATTTGCATGATACCGGAACTCGGCTAGATCTAGTAATCACTCTGCGCGCTTCTGCTGGGCTGGCAACAAATCAAAGTTTAAATACTTGATAGCCCAGTATGCGCGATGTTCGAGTTCCAGTGGGAGGTGGCATGTTTTTCCATAAACTAACCGATAAGGTGATATCCCAATTGGCGTCTTGAAGGCTGTTCTGTAGGCCCACAGCGCATCATCTAATTTTTCAACCCAGTTCTTGTGACTCATGTTGACTGTTGTCTGGAGGATGTGTTTGATTTCTCTGTTAGAAACTTCCACCTGACTTCTTTCTTGTTGGTGATAGGGAGTAGTTAGATGCTGACAAATCCCATACTGTTAAAGACAAGATTGCAACGCTTTGTTTACAAAATGGGTTCTTTCATCGCTAATGATAGTCATTGGGACCCCGAATCTTGGAAAAATGATGTACTTAAGAAAGCGGATCATTGAGTGAGAATCATTAGTAGAGAGCGCTTGCGCTTCAACCCACTTGCTAATCCACTGCCACTAAGATATAAAGCTTTCCATTTGAATTCAGAAACAGTCCCATAAAGTCTATTCCCCATAGATAAAATAATTCCATAAACAAAATTCCAGTATGAGGCATCTCATCTCTCTTCGAGATAGAGCCTAATCTCTGAAATTTTTTGCAAGCCTTGGCAAAGGCATCAACATCTTTTTATATCGTTGGGCAAAAGAAGCCAGATTGCAAAACTTTGGCCGCTGTGCGCTGGCCAGCAAAATGCGCTCCTACGTGGGAGCCATGACATTCATTCAAGATCAGCGGCCCTCTGATTTCACTACACAACGACGGATAATCCTATTAGAGTCGATGTTGAAAAAATAAGGTTCATCCAAAAAATAATCCTTTGGAAAGCTGAGAAGACACTTTTTTTCCCTTAAAAATCTATGAGCGGAAATTTGTCTTGTGGCCAAGAAATTTGCCAGGTCTAAAAACCATGGCTCTTTACCCTGCACAAGGAACAATTTCTCGTCAGGAAAAGAATCATTTATACCTGGGGATGTATTTTCCGGTTGTTGAAGTCTGCAAAGATGGTCATCGACAAAATTTTCTTTCTCTTTTATGTCCTTGTTTTCAATGTCAAATTCTTGGAGCAAAAAAACCCAACAAATTAAATGGGCCTTGGTCTCTTTTATCGTTGCATGATCAGTGTGAACTATTGTCTTGCTCTCGATCAGATACTATCTGAACTTCTCTTAAACAAAGACAGTGGCTAGCATCTCCTCAGTTGTAGTGTAATTCCTTTGTGCAGAGTCCAACGTCCTACTGGCATAGTAAATGACATTCAACTTGGATTCCATCTTCAGTCCCAATACAATGCTGATGGCATAGTCACTTGTATCGATCATCAGCTCGAATGGCTCGCTCCACACTGGTGCCGAAATGATGGGAGTGGTAGTGAGTGAGAGGTTGAGTGATTTTTTTGAAGTCCTTAATAAAGCAACTGTAGAAACCGGCGTGAACAAGGAAACTTCTAACTTCTTTCTTATTTGAGGGCGTTGGCATTCTTTTGATTACACTAAATTCTGATCTATCCACCTCTATTCCCGCGAGCGAGATCTTATGGCCAAGAATAATTCCTTCATTTACCATCAAGTGACACTTCTCCCAGTTCAGCACGAGATCAGTCTCAATGGAGCGGAGCAACACTCTATCCAAATTGCTCAGGCATGTGGTAAAGGTCTTGTCATATACTGAGAAGTCATCCATAAAAACTTCTATTCAGAAGTCTAGGAAATCAGTGAAAATGTGATACATACACCGCTGGAAGGTCGCTGGGGCGCTGCAGAGCCCAAAAGGCATCATCCTATAAGCGAATGTACCATATCGACAGGTAAAAGTAGTTTTCTCACAGTCCTCCGGCTTGATGGGAACTTGATGATAGCCTGAGTAGCCGTACTGGAAATAGTAGTATTTGTGACCTGCAAGCTTCTCATGGCATTGATCAAGAAACGGTAGTGGGAAATGATCTTTCTTCGTCACTGCATTAAGCCTTCTGTAGTCGATACATACTCTCTATTTTGTGATTGGTCTTGTCATGAAGACCTCCCCATCATCGTTTGTCTGTTCGACAAAGCCTCATTTCTTGGGGACCATATGGGTTGGGCTGACCCACTGGCTGTCACTGATAGGATAGACGATACTTGCATCAAATAGCTTTATGACCTCATTTTTCACAACTTCGTGCATATCTTCAGTAAGGCGTCGCGGAGGCTGTCTGCATGGCTTCACTTCAACATCCAATCTGATATGGTGCATACATACTGTTGGGCTGATTCCTTTAATATCTAAAATCTTCCATGCAAACACTGTATCCATCATCAGCTCGAATGGCTCGCTCCACACTGGTGCCGAAATGATGGGAGTGGTAGTGAGTGAGAGGTTGAGTGATTATTTTGAAGTCCTTAATAAAGCAACTGTAGAAACCGGCGTGACCAAGGAAACTTCTAACTTCTTTCTTATTTGAGGGCGTTGTCATTCTTTTGATTACACTAAATTTTCATCTATCCACCACTATTCCCGCGAGCGAGATCTTATGGCCAAGAATAATTCCTTCATTTACCATCATGTGACACTTCTCCCAGTTCAGCACGAGATCAGTCTCAATGGAGCGGAGCAACACTCTATCCAAATTGCTCAGGCATGTGGTAAAGGTCTTGTCATATACTGAGAAGTCATCCATAAAAACTTCTATTCAGAAGTCTAGGAAATCAGTGAAAATGTGATACATACACCGCTGGAAGGTCGCTGGGGCGCTGCAGAGCCCAAAAGGCATCATCCTATAAGCGAATGTACCATATGGACAGGTAAAAGTATTTTTCTCACAGTCCTCCGGCTTGATGGGAACTTGATGATAGCTTGAGTAGCCGTACTGGAAATAGTAGTATTTGTGACCTGCAAGCTTCTCATGGCATTGATCAAGAAACGGTAGTGAGAAATGATCTTTCTTCGTCACTGCATTAAGCCTTCTGTAGTCGATACATATTCTCTATTTTGTGATTGGTCTTCTCGTGAAGACCTCCCCATCATCGTTTGTCTGTTCGACAAAGCCTCCTTTCTTGGGGACCATATGGGTTGGGCTGACCCACTGGCTGTCACTGATAGGATAGACGATACTTGCATCAAATAGCTTTATGACCTCATTTTTCACAACTTCGTGCATATCTTCAGTAAGGCGTCACGGAGGCTGTCTGCATGGCTTCACTTCAACATCCAATCTGATATGGTGCATACATACTGTTGGGCTGATTCCTTTAATATCTAAAATCTTCCATGCAAACACCGTCTTCCTTCTCTTGAGAAGGGATAGTAGTTGAGCCTGTTGGTCCGGCACAAGCGAGATTGATATTCGTTATATATGATAATATTTTGTTATATATTGGACAACTTTTTGATGCAGAATTTTGTATATATGCTCCTTATGGTATGTTTTTTATTGCGCAATAGATTTTATGTGGATGACAAGTTTTGGGGTGTATTTGGGAGACAATGAATAGAACGCACGAAGGCTTTAGACGTGATCACGCAAGTACAATGTGGAATTTACAAAAAGGCCCTTGGGGTGAATTGGCAATATTAAAAGTACTTGGGATTTAATTGCAAAGGGGATCTATTTAAAAAGGGGATCTTGGGATGGAGTTGAAGAGACACGATTTTTTTGAATTGAAGAGGGGAAGAGAAGGGAGAACACGAGGGAGAACGCAAAGAACTTGGAGAAGGATTGCAGACGAATTTTCGGGGCGTTATTCTATTTTCGTATTTTTCTTCTTTGTCGATTTCAAAATTGAAGGCATGATGAACTTCTTTCTTTTTTTTTGTGTTTTAATTCCTATGAATTTTGAGTAATTTCATTTTTAGAGTAGGTGTGAATTTATGTTTGAGATTGAATTTGTGAGACTTGATTTTGTTTAATTTGGTGTTCATCGATATTGGGTATTTCTAATTTATAAGTTTATACATCTTAAATTGATTATTGTGCACATATTGATTTGAGATTTCATAGCTAAATTGGAGATTGGCACCCGTAATTGTGTAATTTTTCAATTGGTGTAGCAACCTAGAGGAATACTTTAGAGAAGAATTAGAATAAATTTTAAACAAATCCGCTTAGGAATTTTGTTAGATTGAATCGGGTCTTTCTAGTAATTAAAGTTGTCAAGTTAGTAAAACTACGGTCGTACCTAGGATTCTCACTCGATTAGGGAAATAGCGAACAATCGTACCTTAGCTAATTAAGAACTCAATTTAGAAACAGCCTCTAAATAGCGAAAAAGTTAGGAAAGGTTGGTTGTGAACGCGTGTAGATCAACTATAACCAATTTATCCAACTAGTCAATGAACTTGATTTTTAGTCGATGAACAAAATTTATATCCCGAACAGAAAATTCATTCCTATGCTAGAGTTTAATCATCTTTGGTAATCCGCCTTGCATTTTATTTAGTTGAGCGAATTTATTTTCTCCTAATTTAGTGTGATAAATCAAAACCCCCCCATTATTTATATATATATATAGTATAATTATAAATAACCGAATATTCAATATTATTATTGTTCCATGCGGAGACGAACCTACTCACTGAACTACTGCATTTTAAAAAAAAAAATTTGTGGCGTAGGAACTGATACTTTATTTTGCAGCATATGTTAATGAGATTAGAACTTTTGATGCGATATAATACTTTATTTTGATAACTTTCCTGCATGTCCTCTTGTGTATTTTGAGCCGAGGTGGTTGTGCTTACTTAGGTCATTAGGATATTTCCGTGTTTGTTGATGAAGTTAGATGACGAGTGGGCTTAGCCTTCTAACAAAGAACCCTTAAGTGAGTTATTTGAGCCTTATTTGAGCAAATTCACTCATACATATCATATATGCTCAATTTTCTAGGATTGTGTGAATATATTTTGTATTTGACTACCTAGAACTTGCTTGCTTATGCTTATTGACTCCGCGTTTATTGAGAATTGATGAGATTAAAATGATAAGGCACTAGGATTACCCGTGTTGGCCTTAATTTCATATCTTCACCTATATTATCCCTTAGTGAACCAAGTTTGAGCTTAATTTATTATCTTATATTTCTTAGTTTATGTATAACCCCCCAAGCCAATAAGCCTTTTTCTTGGATTAAGCCAAACGCTTACTTGAACCCATGGGAACTTGAGGAATTGTTCTTTGATTCATTACATTAGATTATTTAGAGTTGCATTCATTATACAATATTATTCTGAAGTTGTATTTGAGAGTATTCATGTTGTGGCACGGTTATAAATTCATATATATTTTTGCCAAAAGTATCTCGTTATCTAGCCTCTTTAAAATAATAAAAGAAAATTAAAAGGGGCTGAAAAAAAAAGAAGAGAAGAAAAAATATTCCGAGTCCTTAAAAAAGAAAAAAAGACTCGTGGAAAAAAAAAAAGAAAAAAAGTATGTTCTTGTCTTGCATTGATCATCGTTGGTGCAGTGTTGTTTGATTTTTGTTCATTCATGTATGCGACTTGCGCTCATTATGATGTGATGAATTATAGATTAATTCCTCGGTCCCATTAGCCGTTGATTTCATTTTTCCTATCCCAACCATGGCCCCATTACAACCTTTAATTAAGACCTTTGATTATGAACGTTAATTTCTTGATGAATTGTGGAGTTGATTTGATTTGCTTGCAAGCCTATGGGGTTCGTCGTTTACTTCATGTGCATTGAGTGAATATAGCCTAAACACATGAGGGTGAGAGCTTTACTTATATACATTCCACATTTGGTGATGTTAGTTGGTTTTTGCATGCTTTGAATCTGACGTAGTTGATGACACGACTAAGTGACTTTTGCGCTAGTGAGTATCTCAATTCTTGGTTTGGACATATGCTTGAGGAAAAATATGGATTAGGTGTGGGGGAATTGATATGTGTTATATATGATAATATTTTGCTATATTTTGGGCAACTTTTTTGATGCAGAATTTTGTATATATGCTCCCCATGGTGTGTTTTGATTGTGTAATAGATTAATTGTCTCGCAAAAGATTGTCGATTAACATTTGAATGCTTTGTTTTGAAATTGTTCTTGGTGTTGGAATTTATTGAGGAATTGTAATTTGATTGTTGAATTCTTTTCATGAAGGAGTGATGGGCAAGGTGCAAAAGTCGGATTCTCTCATACTGCCCCGACCAGTGCGAGTCTCGGGTCTCTTCCTCAGTGGCCGGTCGCCCCCGCTTATTCCAGGGAAGTTTGTTTTCTCCGTCTCTTTTGTTTCATCTTTGTTCTTGCAATAGGGACATTGTCTCAATTAGGTGTGGGGGGAGATTAGAACTTTTGATGCGATATAATACTTTATTTTGATAACTTCCCTACATGTCCTCTTGTGTATTTCGAGCCGAGGTTGTTGTGCTTACTTAGGTCACTAGGATTATCCGTGTTGGCCTTAATTTCATATCTTCACCTATATTATCCCATAGTGAGAGATGGAGATTATTAGCGGGTAAGTCTCCTCCGGGCCAAGGAATACGTACTTGAGATGTTCTGGTAGCTTTTTCAACTCCTCCCTTATTGTGGATTCGCTTTTTGGCTTTCGCTTTGCTTGCTCTATGGATTCAGTGGGTACTAGTGAGCTGTCGCTCCGCTCATCTGAGTCCTCTAACTGCTCCAGTGTGAGCGAATCCTTCTCTGAAATTTTTTCAAGAAATTCTAAGATTAAACTGTTCTCAAGAGAAATTAATTAATTTAATTCATCGATAAAATCACAGTTTTCTTCCCGAGGTTGGCATATTGAATTGTTCATCGAAAATGTGACTTTATCTTCACCGATGCTCAATGTAATTTCTTCTTGAGCGATGTTGATATTAGCTTGAGCGGTGGCAAGGAAAGATCTTCCCAAAATTATTGGAATTTTGCAATCTTCCCTCGTTTCCATTATTATAAAATCTACAGGGAAGATAAATTTATTTACTTGCATCGGTACATCATGAATAATCCCTTTTGGGATTCTTATTGATTTATTGGCAAGTGGAATTACAGTCCTACATGGCTCAAGTTCATAAAGCCCTAATTTAATAAAATGCGAAAAAGACATAAGATTGATACTAGCTTCTAAGTCGCATAATGCCCTAATTGTTTTCAATTTCCCTATAGTACAAATAATAATAAAACTTCTAGATCGCTGAGTTTCTTTGGTAGCTCCTCTGAAAAGATGGCACTTCACACTCCCTCCAATTGCACCGCTGCATCCACCTCAAGCATTATTCGCTTCTTATTGATTATATCTTTTATAAATTTAGCGTATTGTGGCATCTGCAACAAAGCATCATCAAATGGGAATAGTGGATTTAAGACTACAGAAAATGTGTACAAACTTTTCAAACTCCTTGGAATTGTCCTTCTTTCCTAACCTAGCTGGAAAGAGGGCCCTAGCTATCGTTTGGGTTGGCTCCTTCTCTTTCTGAGTTGCCACCCGAGTGGCTTGCGTCGCTCATGGCTCAATTGGACAAATTTCCTTGTTTGGTACTTGATTCATTATCTCATCCTGTACAGGTAATGTATTTAAAACAATAGGGAAAGGGGAGTGATTAATACCTCTGTCAGGCAACGGTGGTGATGACGTTCGCTTTCCTCCTCTAGTTTCTACAACCTTTGCTTGGTTCGGGACAGTCTCGACTGTCCCAGGCAACGTTCCTTTCTGCCTAAGCATCAGTGCTTTGGAAATCTGCCCGACCTGTATTTCCAACATTTTGATTGAGGAAGATGTATTCCTCTGGAACTTCTGATTTGCCCGTTTAGTGTTTCTCCATAATTCCTCAAAGCTCAGCGGTTGATTTGTCGCCTGGGCAAAAATAGATGCCTGCTGCGGAAAGTGGGGGGGTCTGGTAGTAAGGTTGTTGTGGATAATATCCCCGATGATAATATTGCGTGCAGCGTATTGTTGTAGCTAATGAAATTGTTTTTGAGGACATGGATCGTCAGGCCTTTGGGGTTGCCCCTCAGTGGCCACGACTTCATTTACTACCTGTTTACTTTTATTACCAGATAGATCCTACTTCACGAGCTTAGCCAGCAGCTTGATATGGACAAAAAAATTGTCTATCCGCGCGTCTTGTGGAATGGTAGAAGGAACCTAGTAAAGACCCCTCGATGGCTCTGGCCTGCTAGTCTGATTGGCCAGCATCTTA